GGCAGGAGCCTCTCCAGCTGCGCAAGCTGCAGGAGCTCTGTGCGTGCCCCTGCCCTGCCAGCGGGACCCCCTGCCTGGGAGGGAGGGGGTGTCCCCCAAATCCTCCCCCAGGTTCCACTCAGCTTTTGGTGGGAGGCTGGTGGGTGCTGCTCCCATGGAGCTCAGTGGCTCTTGGATGAGAGGGGATGCGGTCACTCTTCCTCCTCTCCATCCTCTTCCTCATCCCCATCCTCTTGTCTCCATCCTCTTCTCCCTTTCCATCCTCTTCCCCATCCCTGCTTGTCCCGTTTGGACTGGAGCTGGACCTGTTGGCACAGCCCCCGCCCAGCACGTGGGTCTAGGGGGGCTGGGTGCCCCATGTTCCTGTAGGTGATGGGCTCCTTCCCTTCCCTTCCAGCCATCCAGGGGGAACACGAGGTGCTGGTGCTGGTGGAGAGGCGGAGGTAAGAGGGGAGGGTAGGGGGGATGAGATGCCCCTCAGCAAAATACTACACCCTGCCCAAGCCCCTGCCTGTTCTGGGGTGTCTTTACCCTCCCTGCCATGACTGGGGACCCACAAATTGAGTTGGGACCACCTGCAGGCCCCCAGGGCCAGCCTTCCTGGGGGTTGTGGACACACAGTGGGGTCTGGGGGGCGCCTGGCCCCCTGCTGAGGCCAGTCGTGCCGGCAGGACGTTGTACATCCAAGGGGAGCGGAAGCTGGATTTCCTGGGCTGGGTCCATGCCATCCAGAAGGCCGCGGGCAGCTCGGGAGACACCTTGTCAGAGCAGCAGCTGACGGAGTCGGACGTGCCGCTGCTGGTGGATCGCTGCATCGACTACATCACACAGTGCGGTACGGCCAGCGCCGCGCTGCTGGGGGCAACCGGAGCGCTCGGGTCACCCCCTCAGTGGGGCATGGCAGGCTGAGAACCCAGCACTCGTGACACGTGCTTCCCTCCCTCCCTGAGCACCCGCGCCAGCTCCGTGGGAGGGCTCCACTTACGGCAGGGCTTTGGCTCCGGTCAGGAGCACCTGCGGGATGAGACGCTCCGTGGTGTCTGGTGGTGTTTGGTGGGGAGCTGGTGGGCCGGGACTGGAGCCTGTCCCTCACAGAGGGGGTCACATCCCCGCTGGCTCTGTTGCAGGGCTGACGTCTGAGGGCATCTACCGCAAAAGCGGGCAGAACTCCAAGACCACCAGCCTGCTGGAGGTGCTGCAGCGGGACGCGCGCCGCGTTCGCCTGAAGGAGGGCGAGCACCACGTGGATGACGTGGCCAACACCCTCAAACGCTTCTTCCGTGACCTCGGGGATGGGCTCTTCACCCGGCAGTGGGCCCCGGACTGGCTGTGGGCCACGGGTGAGCCCTGGGGGCTGCTGGGGGGTGGCAGGAGGAGTGGGATGGGCTACCTGGTTCTGTGCAGCCCCTTTGTCCCCTCCGTGGGTTGGGGGAACACGTCTGGGCTCCACGTGTTCCCCTGTGCCAGGGTCTTGACTAGCAGGTGGGGAATGGAGTGTGACCGGTGCTCTGGCATGGCTGGGGCTGAACCAGGGCAGAGCCAGATCCCCTCGCCCTTCCCTTCTGGATCTGGTCATTGGACACTGGGGATTGATGCACCACACTATGGCTAGGTTATGGCCCTGTGGAGCTGGGATACTCTGGCTTCAGAGAGCTGGGATGCTCCAGCCCCATGGAGCTGAGATGCTTCAGCTCTGGGATGCTTCAGTCCTATGGAGCTGGGATGCTCTGGCCCCATGAATCTGTGGCAATCCAGCCCTGCAGAGCTGGGATGCTCCAGCCTTGTGGAGCTGGGATGCTCCAGCCTTGGCATACTCCAGCCCTGCAGAGCTGGGATGCTCTGGCCCCATGAATCTGGGATCCTCCATCCCCATGGTAGGACAGGAGGGTTTGAGGTGGGGTGTGAAGGGGAGGATCTGAGTCTTAATCTCCCCTTTGTGCTTCTCCATGTTCATCCTCTTCCTCACGTCCTTCTGGCAGCGCTGGAGGATGAGGAGGCGAAGGTCAGCGAGTACCGGCAGCTCCTGGGTGCCCTCCCCCCGGTGAACCGGGCCACGCTCAAGGCTCTCATCAACCACCTCTTCCGGTATGGAGGGGCTGAGCCCAGGCTCCCCAAGCCCCTGTGGGGCATCAACCCACCCCCTGCGGGGTCCTGGGGGACTCTGGGGCATGGGAGAACCCTCATCCCTTGGCTCACGTCCCTTGGGGTCAAGCTGTGGCCAGCGCCAAGCATCATGTCCTGGCATGGGGGGCTGAAGGAGGGGGTCCCGGGGGGGCTCTTAACGGCATTCTCCGCAGGGTCCAGTGCTTCTCTGGGGAGAACCAGATGAACACGCACAACCTGGCCATTGTCTTCGGGCCCACGCTCTTCCAGACGGATGGGAAGGACTACAAGGCAGGGCGTGTGGTGGAGGACCTCATCAACCACTATGTGAAGATCTTTAACGTAGGTTCACCCCTGGGTCAGACCAATGTGTGGACATTCCTGGGGGATGTGGAGGTGGAAGGAGGAGGAAGCTGGGTCTGCTCTGTCTGCAGACATCTCCCTGCTTTGGAGATGAGGGGACGGGGTACCGTGTCTTTTCAAACCCTGGAAACCCCGAGCCTGGAGCCAGGGTGGTTTGGTCAGCCCTGATGGCTCCTCTGGCAGGTGAATGACCAAGAGATGAAGAAGCAGCAGGATGAAATCATGGCCATCATGAAGATGCGAGAGGCGTCATCCAGCGGAATGCAGGTGGGTCCTAGACATGGGGACCTCTTCATCTGGGGCCCCCAGTGCCTACTGTAGCATCTCCTGGAGATGCCCCATGCAGGGGGTGTCCATGTTGGCTGGGGAGATTTCACCCATGCATGGGAAGCTGTAGCTTGAAGCATTTTCCTGTTGCCCTCCAGCAAGCTGGGGACTTCATCTGCACCGTCTACCTGGAGGAGAAGAAGACAGAGACAGAGCAACATGTCAAAGTGAGCCCTGGGATGGAGGGCACAGAGGGTGAAGAGGGGAGAGGGACACCCTTGTTGTGTGCCCAAGCCTCTGTGGTGTCATGGGGACACACGCTGAGCTGGCACCTCTGTGGTGTGAGGATGGAAGGGCCCGGGGCACTGGCTGATGGAGACATGCCCCCTTCCCCCCAGATCCCGGCCACGATGACAGCTGAGGAGCTGACCTTTGAGATCCTGGACCGGAGGAAAATTGTCATGAAGGAGAAGGACTACTGGAGCTGCTTCGAAGTGAATGAGAGGGAGGAGGCAGGTTGGTGCAGGGGTGTGAGGGTGGTGAGGAGGACAGGGGTGGGTATGGAGATGGGGATGCAGATGGAGTGAGGATGGGTATGGGGATGGAGATGCAGATGGAGTGAGGATGGGTATGGGGATGGAGATGAAGATGGAGCTGAGGATGGATATAGGGATGGGTATGAAAAAGCTCCTGTGGGGATCACTGCACAGAGCAATGCTGGGATGGACTGCAGGCGCTCAGGGGAGGGCAGCTGCTCACTGCATCCAGTTGGCACGTGGCCAAGTGCTGCTGGTGGGCTGAGTTCGGGCCAGCACTTATCTGCATCCTTAGGGGTTCAAATGCCTCTGAAGCTTGATGGAGGGAGGTGTCTGGGCTCTTCAACCACCAAAGGGAGCAGCCTTGGCTTGCCCATAGGTAGCAGTGAGAGCTCAGCTTGAGCAGGATGAGATCCTGGTCCTGCCTGCTGTTGCCCTGACCTCCTGCTGACAGTGCCTGGGAGTTGGTCTCTTCTCCCAGCTAAGAAGTGATAAGAGGAAATGGCCTCAAGTTGTGCCAGGGGAGATTTAGGTTGGATATTAGGGAAAATTCCATTGCCAAAAGGGCTGCCAGCCCTGGCACAGGCTGCCCAGGGCAGTGGTGGAGTCACCATCCCTGGAGGGATTGAAAAGACACATAGATGTGGCACCTGGGGACATGGTTTAGTGGCAGGACCGTGGCAGACCCTCAGGCCACAGGTGTGACCCCCAGGATGGGAGCTGGCCCTGGGGGTACTGCCTGAGACCTGCCTGTCCTGTGCCTGACAGAACGACCCTTGCATTACTCTGAGAAAGTCCTGCCCATCCTGCACTGCCTGGGGACAGAGAGTTACCTGGTGGTGAAGAAGCAGATGTCCATGGAGAACATGCTCATCTACCTCGGTGAGAGCCAGGGGCCACAGTCTGGGCAGGGGGAGGAGAGAGAGGATGGGGTGGGGATGGGCAGGGATGGGGGTACGGAGGGGGGGGGAGGGGATGGGGGATTGGATGGGAATGGGGAAGGGGATGGGATAGGGTGGGACGGGATCCATGTAAGTGGAGTAGGCTCCAGCCCAGTTAGCACGTGGCTGGGAGCCCCCTGATACAGGGTCACCCATGGATGCTGTGCCCAGTGGGTGGCGGAGCTGGTCCTGCCTGCCCTGCCAGGGCTGGGCACAGAGGGGCCGTGCCGGGGCCCTGCAGCAGCCAGAGCTGCCACGGTGTGGGCGAGGGTCTGGCTACACCCTGCGCCCTTCCTGGGGGGCCTGACCCCCCCGGGGGGCCGGAGCCGCTCAGGCACGTGCCCCCAGCCAGCAGAGTGGGTGACTGCAAGCACGGCATGATGAAATTCCGGGAGGAGAGGAACCTGCTGGGGCTTGGGCTGAGCACCGGCTTCCACGATCGCTACTTCATCCTCAACCACTCCTGCCTGCGCCTCTACAAGGAAGTGAGGGTGAGCCCTGCCTGCTGCCTGCCCTGCCCCTACCTTCCCTTCCCTTCCCTTCCCTTTCCTTCCCATCCCTTCCCATCCCTTCCCTTCCCTGCCCCTACCTTCCTTTCCCTTCCCCTCCCAGCCCTGCCACGCTGTGACTCTGTGCGGGGTGTCCCTGGGGACATGAGACCCGTGTGGGCTGGCATCGCTCAGGCAGTGCAGGCAGCGGTGGGGCTGGGCAGTGGCATGGGCAGTGCAGGCAGTGCCAGGCAGTGTGGGCAGTGCCAGGGCTGACCCCAGAAGCACTCTTGCCAAACCCAGAGTTTCCCGGAGTAGATCCCAGAGCTCCTGGTCAGTGCCAGGGCTGAGGGGGGCACACGGGCACCCCGGCTGGGCTGGGACAGCCACTCATCACCCCTGGTTCCTGCTCCCCCTGATCTGACACTGCACCCTGGCATGTCGCTGCTCCATCGCCATGCCCTGCCCCTGGGCACAGAGGGGGCTGCAAGGAGGGGTCCCCCACCTCTGCTTTAACTGCTCTCCTCTGTTGAACAGAGCCTGAGGCAGCGGAGCCCCCCCTTGGAGAGCGTGAGTAGGGAGGGGAGCGGGGGGCTCAGCTGGGGTGCAGGGGCTCCCGTGCCCTCTGCCCTTACAAGCCTGCCCAGGGTTGATCCCAGATCCAGTCTGGGGTCAGTCCCAAATCCAATGCCTCAGCATGTGTGTGCCACTCACCGAAGCTGTGCCCGGTGCTATCATCCCTCCCGTTAGCCCCTGGAGTTCTCTGCTCCCTCTGGTTCAGGGGTCCTGCTGCCCTTCACTCCAGGCAGCCAGAGCTGGGTCTGGGAAGGGGCTGGAGAGGATGGGGATGGGCTGAGCTGCTTCCCCATCCTGCAGGCATTGGATCGGGCTCTTGTAAGCCAACGCCGCTTGCACGTGAACACGGATGGGGGGTCCCCAGCAGGGTCCCCAGCAGGGTCTCCAAGGTCCCAGGGCATGGCAAGGCACAGCCAGCACTGCCATGATGGCGGTGGGACATTTAGGAATGTGCTTCAGGCAGAGTGGGTCTGGGATCACCATTGCCATTGCAGTGTTCACGGTGCTGAGGAGGGCTCTGACGTGGGACCCCCACAGGAGATGTCTGGTGCCCTCGAGACCCTGTCACAATGTGCCAGTGCTGGTCCCAGCTCTGAAGGCAGCTGGCACTGTCTCTGGGGGACTGTGCCCCAGGGACAGGCCTTCTGTGTCCCTTTCCTGCTACCTGTGGCCCTTGCCATGGGTGATGGAGACCTGCTCTGCTCCATCCCGGGCTTCACCCCGGTCCCTGTCACTCATCACCCTGGGTTTTCCTCCCTGCCGGGGGAATGGACCCCATCCCAGCATCGGTGGGGACTGTGGTGGGTGGGGACAGGTTTGGCAGCCACCAACCCAGTGCTGGTTCCCTGTCCCCTCAGAGCCACAAGCCAGAGAAGGAGTGGCCTGTCCGAAACCTGAAGGTCTACCTGGGCGTTAAGAAGAAGCTTCGACCCCCGACATGGTGAGCAGCCTGTGGGGCTGGGGACAGAGCTGGGAACAGGCCTGGTGATGAGGACGGGATGGGAATGGGGATGAGGATAGGAGTGGAGATGGGGACGGGGACAAGGACAGGGACAGTTTTGCTGCTGGACCCGTCCCCTGCCGGCCGGGCCTCCTGCCACCAGGTGTCAGAGCAGCCCCGCAGGACGCGGCTGAGCCCGGTGCCACCAGCGAGGACTGGGCGCCCAGCCCTGTCCCCAGCCCCTGTCCCCTGCCCTGTTCCTGGCGCTGTGCCCTGCCTTGTCCCTGTCGCCGGGGGGAAGTTGTGGGGCTGGGGTGTTGTGGGGCTGGAGGGAGTTTGCAGGACTGGGGTAGGGTGTGTGGGGCTGGACGGGGTGGTTGCAGAGACAGGGAGTTTGCAGGGATGAGGGGTCAGGGATGGGAGGGTTGCAGGGACAGGGGGTCGCAGAGATGAGGGGTGACAGGGATGAAGGGGGTTTGTTGGGGTATTTGACCAGCAGAGGATGGCAGTGTGGGATGTTGGGGTTCATGTTTTTGCTCCTCTGTTCCAGCTGGGGCTTTACAGTCTTCTATGAAAATGAGAAGCATGAGAAGCAGCAATGGTGAGGGAAGGCGACATGGGGACACTGAACTCATTCAAACATGCAGCAGCTCTCTGGAGCTGTGGCAGGGGGAGGTGGGGAATCACAGGGTCATGACATGGTTTGGATGGGAAGGGACTTTGAAGACCATCCAGTCCCACCTCCCTGACATGGGCAGGGACATCATATGTGTGGGCACAGCCTGGCTGAGCACCCACAGCCCTGCTCAGGTTCCCCCTGGGGCCCATGTCTGTCCCCTTCAGTCCCCCGGGCTCTCATGCAGAGTGGTGGCTGAGGCCCCTGGAGCAGTCAGAGGGGACACCCACTGCCTCCTCCATCTCCTCTGGCTGCTGACACTGTGTCCCCACAGGTACCTGTGCTGTGACACCCAGGCCGATCTGCGGGAGTGGTTTGCCACCTTTCTCCAGGTGCAGGTAGGGAGCAGACAGACCGTCACTCCCTGCAAAAGCGGGACACCCCGTGGGGGTCAGCCCTGGAGGGGCGCTTGGCCGGCGAGGAAACCCTTTGGGGTATCCAAGTATCCCTAAACACCAGCGTGCCAGGGTGAAAGGGAGGTCCTGGGGTGGCCGAGGCTCTGGCCTCCATGGCTGTCCCCTCTGTCTGCAGAATGGGGGGGCCCTGTGGCCCTCGGAGCGCCCCAGGACGCGGGCGGCGCGGCCGCAGCAGGACACCAGGTTGGGTAACATCTCCCTCATCCCGCTGCGGGGCAATGAGAGCGAGATGAGGAACAGTGTGGCTGCTTTCGCTACTGACCCCCTAACCGTGAGTGACCTGGGGGCACCGGGGGGCCCTCCACGTGGGGCTGCATCCCCCCTGCATCACATGCTGGGGGGCCCTGCTCCCCAAACCTGGGGGGGATATCCCCGCTCCCATCCCTGCTCCCGTTCCTTGCGTACCACATCACCTCCAGTCACCCCAGAAGGATCTGGGAGGTCTGGCTGATCCTTTGGGGGCCCATGGGGGGTCTCCTGGGTCCAGGAGTGTCCCAAACCATGTGATGCAAGGAGAGGGGATGCTGCCATGCTCCTGATTTTTCCTCTAACGGGGGGGGATTTCTGTCCTGGTCACAAATCAGCTCCCGATCCCGCTGTCTGTCTGTCCTTCTGCGCCAGCTGTCCTGCCCAGGGGCTGTCACGCGTTGGGTGTCCCCACACCACACGGGTGCTGATGCTGGAGTCTTGCCCAGCCACGGGGCCGGCGGTAGGACAGCGATGATCCCACCGCCCCCGAGCAAATCCCTCGGGCCCTCGTTGCTGTTATAAACCTGGGACACGGCCATGCCAGCGGGATCCCATTGCTGGCATCGGTTGGGCATCACCCAGTGGGCACCCAAGGGTGCCCCAAGGGCAGAAAGCAGCATCCTTGCTGCCCTGGGACTTCCCCCAGGCTCAGGTTTATAACGGGGCAGCGGCGAAGCCCCCCCGGGCTTTGCTGTGGGCTGTGCTTCGCGGTGTGCGTGTGCTGGTGTGCTCTGGGACAGGGAACCAGCACACCGGGGCTCCCAGGGACAGTGGGAGAGTGTGCCCGGCCGTGGAGCCAGCATGGGGAGGGGTACTGGCACCCCAGCAACCCTGGGGGACCATGATTTCCCTTGGTGGGGGTTTTCCCTGTGTCCCCCTGGGCACCACGCTGCCAGTGATGCCCAGACATGGAGGAGAGGAGGCTGAGGATGAAGGGTGACCTGTCTGCCCTCTGTTCCCAGCTCCTGCGGAACGTCTGAGCTGGAGAACTGACATGCCAGTGAGTGTCCTCCCCTGCCCACCCCCCCTACCCAGACCTGGTGGCAGTGGGAGCCAATAGCCCTGCCTGTCCTATTGCTACCCGCGGGCTTTGAGGACATGGCAACGGCTCCCACAAGGTGGGAGAGGGATGGAAGTGGCTCCCCCTCCCTTCACGGACCCTTTTGCTCTCCACTTGTGCTGCAGGTTCATGCCAGGTGGGGCAGCCCTCGAGGTCCTGTGCCAGCCCCAGCACCCCGGCCCCTGCCGGGGGCCCTGCTGCCTCTGGAGCCTCCCATGGCCTCTCACCTTCCACCACGGTGACCCACGGGCAGCCAGGAGTGGAGATGGCAGCAAGGCCACCCACCCCTGTGGAGCTGGGCTCAGGAGCCATGGCCAGGCAGCCCACGGGATGCCAGCCCCCTGACCCCGCTGCCTTTGGCCACCACTTCTTCTCCCAGCTCCGGGCAAAGAGGCAGAGCCCGGCTGGGGGCTGTGGTTGAGGGTTTTTACTTTTCCTCCTCCATCCCCTATTTTTAATTCCTTCTCCTCTAAAACGACAAGGCAGGTGGGAGCTGCCCTTAGGGTGGGATGTGGGACCAGCCCTTCCCATGGGACGCAAACCTGGCCATAGGCACCAGTGTCCTCATGCTCCCGTCACTCCTGGGGAAGGGTCCCCTCCGTGCTGGACAGGGCAGGGTGACAAAAGCCTCAGCATCCCCCCCAAACTGGGGAGGGGGTGCACCCGGCCTCTGTCTCCCATCCACCAGGGTACAGGTGGCAGGAGCAGCCCCTGCTTCCTGCTGCTGCCTCTGGACAATATTAAAGGTCTTGAGAAACAGAGTGGAGGTGTCTGTGTCTGTCAGTGGGGTGGGGGCACCAGGAGCTGGTGACCCTGTGGGTGCAGAGGGACAGCCCTGGATGCATCCATTGGGTGCTTGCCAGGGGATGGGTGATGGGTCCCTGCAGCGTGAGGCACAATGGGCACTTCAAAGCCAGAGGTTGGAGCGGCCTCCTTGGATCGTGGCAACCCTGGGAGTTCCTCCCCACAGCCCGTGGCTGAGGCCGCTGCCTGCCAGTGCCCGTCACCTCGGAACCTGCCGTGGAAACCCCTCGAGCTCCACCCGGGGATGTGGAGATACAGGTCCCCAGGGAGGCAGAGGTGTGGGGATGGATGGATGCAGGGGGCTGGGAGCATCTCTCCCCGCTGAGTTGCCTGCGACAGCCCTGGGTGGGGGTGTCCCCCCGCCCCCTGCTCACGCTGAGCCCCCCCGGGGCTGTCGGTGAGTCACACGTGGGAGTGGGAGGGTTGTCAATCACCCGCAGGCACTGCCAGGTGCAGGATTGGGGATTGGGGACTGGGGATTGTGGCAGTGGCGCTGGTGGCACCTGCAGCGCTGGGAGGGGTGGACGAGCCACCCAGAGCGACACAGAGGGGAGGCACCTGTGTCCCCACCGCCCCCGGAGACCAGCACCCCTCAAGCCTCACTTACACCATTGGGTGGTTTGGGTTCCTCCTTGCTGTGCCAGGGTGAGGACCTGGCTGTTGGGGAGTGGGGAAGAGCCTCCACCAGCCCTGACTCCATGACCCCTCTCCCCTTCTGCTGTGCCAGGCAGTCCTGTCGGGCTCCTGGTGCCCAGGGCTCTGCGGGCAGGGAGCGGGTGCCTGGCACCAAACCCCAGGGAAGTGCCATGAAACACGGTTAGTGCTCAGCTTTGTTCAGATGCTAATCCATCAGTCTATCCATCCACCAGTCCATGCATCCATCCATCCATCCATCCATCCATCCATCCATCTGTCCATCCATCAATCCGTCCCCTCATCCATCCAACCATCAGTCCGTCCACTCATCCCTCCCTGCCTCTATCCCTCCCCCTATCCCACCACCCATCCCCCTCAGCAGCTCTCCTGTCCCTCTGGCCCTGCGATTTTCCCTCTATCCGCCTCCTTCCCACTCTCTCACCACCAGGACACCCAGCACTGCCCTGCTCAAGGAGCTGACCAAGCTCTTCCTGGCTCCCAACCAGCTCAGCTTCCATCCAGGGCTGGGTCTCCCTCCCTGCACACCCCACCAGATGGAGGGGCTGAGTGTGGGTGCAGCAGCAGGATGCTGGAAATCCCTCTGGATCCCATGAGCATGAGGTTTGGGGTTCCTTTCATTTCCATCCTGTTTTTTTGGGGAACGGATGGGCAGAGAGCTGCTGACAGCCCATTAGAGGGGATCCAGGATGCAGTGGTGATACTGGGGCACCCCTGCCCTGACACCCCCCAGCCCAGCGCAGGCAGGGGGGGCCGGGGTGCTCTGCAGCACCAGCAGCACTGCTGCACTGAGCTGGTGCAGTGCTGCCCTGCCGAGGGGTGAATCCAGCCGGGAGCCCGTCACTCCAGGGCGGGATGGATGGGGCCCCTCTCCAGCTCTCTCTATACATAGCACTGAGGAGGCGAGTGCCATGTGACACCCCACACCGGCGAGTGATTAATTGCAGAGACATTTACAAACAACTTAATAAACCCCAGCACGGTGGGGGGTGTGTGTGTGTGTGTTGGGGGTGTGAGGGTGTCTTTTGTCCCCTTTGCAGCCACCGGCTGGGATCCCACTGGGACCTGGCTGGGACCCGCTGCCTCTTCCTGGGTGCTGGAGCCCTCGGCACGTGGCAGAGCCAGAATTGTCCTTGTCCTTGCCCACGGTCTGGTGGGGGTGGGAGCATCAGTGACCTTGTGTGCCAGACACATGGATTTGGTGAATACCAGCCTTGGGTCATGGTGATGGTGCTGCCGTTCCTGGGGTGCTGCCATTCCTGAGTGCTGCCTTCCCTGGGTGTTGCCTCTTGTGGGGGGGGAAACCCCACATTCACCCTCCTCATTTTGGGTAGTGCCAGGTAATGCCCAGACAGCCTGGTGTGATGCCACAGTCGTCCCATGGCACCAGTATGGGATGTCTCCACGGGTCTTCCCATGCATCTGTGCCCACGGCAGCTCAGCCCCCCACTCCACATCCTGCCAAGTGGCTTCTACCCCTGCACCCCCCTCCCCAGTAATGAACTCAGCAGACTCTCAGCTTCCAGGTTTAATAGAGAGCAGCCACGCTCCAGCAGACTTTAAACCAGTCATTATTCTATCAGAGACCCCATTAAACTGTCACTGGATTTTTCCAGCCTTTCTCTCATTATTTTTCACTTTTTCCTTTCGTCCTGCCTTTTCCCCATCTATGTGTGTGTCTGCCACCCCACTCGGGATGCTCCCAAGGGGTTCACCACCTTCCTCTGCCATCAGTTTATCCATACAGAAAACAGGCTCAGGCTGGGGAAAGATTTGGAGAAACCTGCTGCTCCCCAAACTGACACGGGGGACCACCCATCCACTTCCAGCCTGGCCAGAGCAATGGGAAGGGGCTCTGGTTGGTGAGGGTGGGAGAGGAGAGCCCCTGGGAGGGTTTTAAGAGCAGAAAGTGATGGGGCAGAGGAAAGGCCCGGCTGCTTGAAGTCTTTTATCCCTGGCAGTGCTCCCCCTGCTCTGCCTGCTCCCTCCTCCCTCCCTGGCAGCCGCCCACTTGCCACTCCAACTTAATAAGAAAAATAAAGGAAATTTAAATAACTAAACAACTGTCGGGCTGGTGGGGGGGAGGAAAGGGTGCAGAGGCGGGTTGTGCCCAGGAGGGTCCCGTGGGATGGGGGATCTGCCTCTCCCAGTTCCCATGGGATGCTGGCAGTGGGGGTGGTGAGCGTTTGGGGCTCAGTGTCTGGAGGGAATTGAGACAGTGTTTGGGGAAGGGTGGCTGCCCTTGGCTTGGCAGGGCCAGAGCTGGGCAAGGAGACATGACCAAAGCAAGGTGGTGATGGGCAGCAGAGGCGGGAGCCAGATCAGGATTTTCCTGGTTGGGGGGACCTCCTCAGTGGGCACAGGGACCAGTGGGCACAAGCAGCTGCCAACCCCCTGCCCAGCAGAAGCCAGTGGTGTCATTGCATCCCAGAGCACTGGGGTCTGGCACCTGAGGAAGGATGCTCTGACTGGTGGCTCTTTTTCCACTTCTGTTGCATCACTGGCTCTGAGGGGGAGCTGGGTTTGTCTTTCCCCATTAAGCAGACGTTAATTTGCACTTATTTAAAAAAAACGGAGCTTTCAATCTCTCTGTTAACATTGGAGCAGCAACGCTCCTGGGTTGTCAGCCCAGAGATATCCCTGCTGGATCCCTGTCTGGGGCTGGGCACGGAGCTCAGGGAGCGGGATAGGATCCCCAGGGAGGTGTGTGCAGATATACAGGATTGCTGACCTGGCACCACGCCGGCTGCTCTGTGTCCCCTGGGGGACAGCCCTGCTCCCCTCCACTCTCCAAGTCTGGTTGGGATGGGGAGAAAGGGGGATGAGATTTCCAGGGATAGTGGGGATCCTGGGCTGTAGAAGGGTCAGAGAAGGGAACTGAAGCATCTCTGGAGCATCCTTAGAGCATTCTTCCCCGGGTGGAAGCCGCAGGCAAGCTGCAGACAGCCCCAGTCATTTCTCCAGTGAGAGAAGGCAGTGAAATCCCTGCAGAATCCATCTCCTGGAGCCCCGTGGGGAATGACCACAGCGCTCCAAGCAGGGGCATGGATGTGCCAGGTGTCCTACAGGCTGGACACCCATCCCCAACCCAGCCCTACACCCAGATGCACCCGAGTTGGGGTGCAGCCTCAGAGGAGCAGGTGTGGCTCTGCCCATCCACTCGTGGAGGATGAATCTCAGGTGGCATCTGGCTGTGGGTCACCAGGACTCCAAAATCTTCATTTCCTCTTGTTCCACCCCTGGGAGGCTCCTGAGGAGCCCATGCTGGGCTGTGACTCCTGTGACACACACGTGTGCACGAGCCTGCCTGCACCGACACAGCGCTCCATGCACAGCCACACATCCAAACACACACACACGGGCACTCAGGTGCACACACGTGTGTTTATCCCACCCAAATACGTGCCCAGGTGAGCAGCAGCTCCATGCACACGTGGCCCTGCACCCCCTGAACGATGTCACCCCACCTGTGTGTGTGCTGCCACTGGAACAACAACGAGCTTCGGCTCATTGACGACGAGGAAGGCTGCAAGTCCCAGTTTTGAGTGTTCACAGGGCTCAGGCCTCGAGTCGAAGGAAAAATAATAAAATAAAGAAAAAAATAAGAAAAACAATGAGATAAGGGAAACCAATAAAACAAAGGGAAAATAATAAGAACGTAAAGGTAAACCTAAAAAATGGTTGGGACTTTATGTATCAAAAAATACAGGGGAAAAAAAAGCAGCTCTTTGAGGAGAATCACTTCAAATTGGCTATTTATCGGCACAGCATCCTGCCGGGAGGTTTCCATGGCTACCTGGCAGCCAGCAGCCGGGGCGGCAGCGTGCCAGCCCCATGTGCCACACCGCGTGTCCCCGTGGTCCCCCCCTGGGGACGAACCTTTGTACCGCACCCGTGCCTGATGCTGCGGGTGTTGGGCGCCCTCAGCCCTGCTGTGGGGGGCTGCCCCCAAAGGCCAGACCCCGAGGGTTGGTACCCACCTGGGGGGATGCCCGAGGGGCTGGAGGGTGGCAGTGGAGGCACACTGGGAAGGGGATGCCCTCGCAGAGCCCCCCCTGCGTGCTGGCACGGCTGTGATGGGATGACCAGAGGGTGGTGTTATCCCAACCAACATCTCTGTCCTTCTGGGGAAGGACTGTGTTGCTTTAGTGGGCATGGGTTCTTGGCCCACAGGACACGTGGCATATCCATGTCTCTGCTCCAAAGCCTGTGGTCACTAAACTGTGGGACTCCAGGAGATTGCTTCCACAGGGAATTCACTGCCTTATCCTGCTGGGAAGAAATATCTGAGAGCTTGTTTGCA